GACTTTGCTTTCGGGTTTGCTGCGGAACGAAAATGTTCGATACCAAGAACATTTTCGTTCCGCAGCAAACCCGAAAGCAAAGTCCTATAAAAACATGGCTTTCTCGAAACACTACCTCGACCAACATTACGGACAAAAACCTAAACTGTCTGTTAAGATTTTAAAAAGAACAAAAGGATCTGTAGAACGGAAAATTACCGAAGCATTATTCATCCAAAAGCTTAATCCAGACTTGAATGGAAAATACGAACAGTTAAATGTTTTAGATTTCGTAGTTTAAACATTAAAGACAGAATTAACAATTTCTAATTTTTATTAGAATTAATCGGACACGTGCACGTAATTTATATGCTTACGCAATTTCGCACGCGCGAATAACGGTCGCAATTTTAACGTTTATGCATGCGCATGTTAGTTTAAATTCAAATTGTAATCCTACCTGAAGATGGAGTAAATCTCCGAAACGTCGTTTGTTAATGAAATAAACATTTAAAAAAAGTCTTACTGTGGTCTATATATTGAACACAAAATATACTTTCATTTAATTGTTTGTGTTGCTTTTATTTGTCAGTACAGAATATTGTAAATTAAAATATTACTACAATGCAATATGCGTAGTATTTCATCAGACATCTGCACAAAAATACTGTACAAGGAAAACTACAGCTTAAATAATAGTAGACGTTCCTTTTTTGTCAGGAAACATCACAGGTCACTTCGGACACGGCTTTCGAGTTTTGTAACCGGCCGAGGCGAAAGTAAATCATGCAGTAGGGAAAACGTCTTATACGATTAAGATTATTTTGCAAAACATATATCGTACACACAAGAATCATAAAAATACAAAATAATGTTGAATTGTTATTGCCAACTGTCAAGTTCAGTTATTTTTAGACAATATGATGTTAGCCAATCAGAATGCAAAATTGACCGGCCCACACCAGGGCTTCCTCGTGTCTCGCTTCGTCCTCATACTGAAGCCCTGGTAACGAGGTTGATTAAACCATTATTTTCTAAATATATATATATCATACCCTGTAAATTCATTTAGATTGCTCTGAAGATGTTGTATTGTAAACAACGAAACGTTAGCTAATAAATTTACTTTTATTATGTTTGGTTTTAAAGTTATTTGCTGGGCTCTGCTTTTTATCTTTAAATTCAATATCTGGGCACAATTTGTCACTGCGGTGTTATAAAATTTAGCAGAATTTAAAATGTCTAGAAATTGCATTCTATGCAAAAAAGCTGGCAATTAATAAGTTGTTAATTCAAATTGGTACAGACAGCAAGTTAAAATTTCTTTACCTGGCTGAAGCATTATAAAACAATAGAGGTTCAGATTTGACATCCACTACCGCTACCGCTCACTGGCTTAGTACGCGTCTGATTGGTTAATGATTCCTTAATGGTAGTGGAAGTCAAATCTGAACTTATCTACTAATTCGCACATTACCTTTCTTCCGCCAGTTTTCAGTTGACTTAAGTTTCAATGGACTATCCTTTTGCTGTTCAATTTCAGCGTCACTTTTTCCAGTTAGTTGGACAATTCTTTTGTGATTGGACCGTATCTTAAAATACATTCAAACCTCGTCAGTATAATTTAATAAAGAACCAGTCAGCGAAAGGAAATTAGTCACTTCCATTCAATTTAAGACATAAAACGACAGTCTCATCACTATTACGCATACTTTACAGTTTCACCCAAATGCACACCACTTTTCAGATCAATATGAATTCATATAAGCTCTTATAGTATATGCGGATATGGCTGTTCCTCAACCTCACAATCCACGCAGTTCATTCCTCATTCAAGCAGTAACCTGTGGCCAGTCCATACAGTAACGGACACTTATCGAAGCCTTTTGTTGTACCACATTTCAATACTACCGTTGCAATCCTTGGCCATACTTTGGGGATCGAAATTATAGCATTTCCGATACAATCAGCAAAATTTTAGGGATTATTGAAGAGCGGAGTAGGACAGTTTATTCTATCAACGTTTCTTGTGCAATATATATACCGTGTAGCAAAAGTGTGATCAAAGACTATATGATCATAGTACAAATTAAACTATTTCAAAACATATGTTCAAATGTTTTCGCGCTTGATTTTGCAGGATGATGCCACTGTCGTCACCGAAACTTCAATAGAGAGTTTGGCAAATACAAGGGCATCGCGGCAACGGCAATGTGATCATCAACAATAGCATTAATCCTCAAAGACAAAGGCGAATGTAAATTACATGGTCTTAAGCGTTGTGCAATGCCGTAGTTGTTGAAACTAGTACGTGATTTGCATCATTTTCACGGTGCACGACTACGGCAACAGTTAATTAGTTCGATGTTATTTGAGGTGTTTTATTTGAATTCGCGGACTGTTTTTACTTAAGAGTACGTTTGAAAGAAACAGGAATACTTAAAGAGGCAAATTAAGTGTAGTAACGTATACTTTGGCTCAAATACAACAATATAAGCAATTATATTTTCCCCGTTGCCGTTGTCGTTCTAGGTTGCCAAACTCTCGAATATAAAGATATGGTGAAAACCAGCATTTGCGGTGTCTGATGTGAGTGTGCAAAAACAGCGTTTAGCAGGGCTTGGTTTGACATATCAAGGGGTGGGGGATGGTCCCCCCAGCCCTCATGTTGGCCCCTCCAGTAAACTATATCTATGCCCCCCCCCCCCACCACCACCTTTATTGAGGTCCTTTCTGCATGTCTAAAGGAGGAAATAACTTAGTTAAGAAGATCTTGAACTGTCTGTGCCAGTGTTGGTAGTGCCAATAATATGAACAAGCTTTCGTTGGTAGGGATGCAATCACAGCTGAAAAATATAAGGATAATTTCGAGTTACTGTACTAGCCAACTCCAGTCGAAATTCTCCTTATATTTTTCAGGTAGTTGCATCACTACCAACAAAAGCTTGTTCATAAATTATTATATATCCAAAAAAATATCTAAAGGCCTTGGAATGTTAAGACGTATTCGTGATCTGGTGCCAGTTAACACGCTGGTTGACATATACTTGTCTATCTGCCTCTTTTTTATTATTGCAGTTCTGTTTTGGATCGTTGTGGTAAAGGTCTACGGGATAAGCAACAAAAATTACTCAATCGAGCAGCTCCATGCAATACTGAATTACTAGGAGCAACTACGAAATACGCAGATAATTACAATAAAGACCTAAATTGGCCGATATTGGAAAATAGGCGAAAGTATGCCCCCACCCCCTGTTTGATGTACAAAATATTCCATACGTTAGGCCAATATTACCCCTTTCGAGGCAATTTAATCGAGCTAACACACTGCATATAGTTATGATACACGAAGTCATGACTACATTTTTGCCATTCCTAAACCAAACACCATTTTTTTGAAAAGCAGCCTAGAATATAGTGAATCAGGGGTATGGAATTCAATACCAATTGAAATAAGGACATTCAATTCACTAAACATTTTCAAAACTAAATTGTAAATAGTAATTTTACTAATTTCTTATGTAAATCAGCTTTAAATTCTATTTATTGTAAATAATTTAAATGCACACGGCGCCTGGGAAGAGCATCTTCTGATGACTGCAGGTTTCCATGCCAACATAAAGTTCAATTAAATCATTCAACACAGAAAGTCTTGGCTTCGCCTATGATTTTGGCTTAACCGTTGCAATGCTGTCGCCATGTTCCTAAGCCAGTGCGCTATGAGAGACATTCACTCTCCTGAAAATATTCAAAATTACGGACGTTCAGGGTGATGAATGCCTCTCATAAGCGCACTAGCTGGCTAGGAACATTCACGAGAGTGCATTTTGTTGACGAATCATTGCGAATCAGGGCGTGGCGGCAGTTACGCTTTTTTGGCCGATTCGGCTTTCTGTATGGCATTTACTGTAGAATTACGTAAATTTTGCGGTATTCGTGGCCTTACCCACACGTATGGATAGTTGTATCTGGCGTAAGCAGCAATGAGGAACAACGTAGACTTGTTGTCCTAAAAAAATAAAAATATCCATGTTCAGTGGCCAATGCCTGATTTGATTTTTTGGATATTATTTAACAATTATTGAATGAGGTTGAGCACGATATGAAGAATTATCAAGCCCGAAGTTTGCCGTTATCAACCGAAGCCGGGCTGAGGTTGATAACGTTAACGGCAAACTGAGGGCTTGGTAATTCTTCATATTGTGCGAAAACCGAATTCAATAATTGTTTTTATTATTTATTTAAAAAATTCAAAACAAACATTTGTATTTTATTTGTATTAAGAAAAAAACAATTCCTTAGTCCTTCGAGAGCCGTCGTTGCGTCATATCAATGGCGTCAACGAGTCAATATGATTCTCGTCGTCATAGTAATATGGCGCAAACGCGTCCAAATTTTTTTCATATCGACTCTTTGACGTCATTTTGCTAATATGAATGTGAAAAATCAGTATTTGGTAGCCATTGAGTTGATATGACAATTTCACAGTTGGCTGTTAGCCAATCAGAAACCAGGAATTTTTTAAATAAATAATAATGAACAGTAATGCATAGACTATACAGCATGTGTAACGGATTACTATGGTGACAAAAAAGCAAAGCATATACAAATCTCACGGGGCACGTTCACAAATTACATGCTCTGTTTTCTGATCAATGTCCGTCGGACAACAGTAAAGTTTACTATTGCAAGGTACGGCGCTGCACTAAACCTTTGTTCACTGCCACAAGTTTTTAAAAAAGTGCCAGACAGGTTGCCTTTCGTGCGTTGTTCTTGCTCATTGGCTTCTTCGTGCTTTTGACGAAAACATTAACTTTCTGACCAGGGCGCCCTGTTTCTGCAGACCACCATATATTTTCTATATTTTAGTCATAAGTTGGATGACTGACTGAATGGTCCCCAAACCTCGTAGGTTACCCACGATACCAGTCGTAGACTCCCATGATCCTCTTTACAAAGGGGAAAACAAAAACAACAACAAAAAGAATACAGTGTTCATCAGTGTCTAACCTGCACGTCTACATCCTTTTCACTTGGACTAGCTGGAGGTAAACCAACGTCCATTAAATCTCCGTAGTTACCATCTCTGGTATAATAATATCAATCAAATAATATTATTCATTTATAAACCATATATAATATAATATAATATAATATAATATAATATAATATAATATAATATAATATAATATAATATAATATAATATAATATAATATAATATAATATAATATAATATAATAAAATATAATAAAATATAATAAAATATAATAAAATATAATATAATATTAATATTAATATTGATCTTGATATGATATATAATAAATAATATGTTATATATAATATATAATATATAATATAAAAAAAATTTAATATATAATATATAACATAACATAACATAATATAATATAATAATATATAATATAATATAATATATAATTAATATGCAGTATACTTCCTCGCTATCGTCTGTCATATACTTCCTTCCATCATATTCTTTCTGGAATACATCTTTTCTTCCTTTCCCTCTAAATCTCAATTTTGTTCTAATCTATACTTCTCAGTTCTAAAAATGTTTGTTGCATCGTCGCATAGTACGTCGTTCTCCGCGCGCATGGAAGAACATTCTTTACTGAGTGGGCCACCCTGGATACATAAAGCTCATCTATCTGACTTATCAATTCGCTAACATTTCACTATTTTATAGGGTTATCCCAATATTCGTCACATAATTATTCTAATCATTTCATAAATTATGTTACACAGGATATATATAAAGCTTTCAATATATAATAGCCGATTTGCACTAAGAAGTCACGTGACCTTATTATAAGGTATAAATCCATACCTATATGGTGTGTCGATTTATAATACTAGACTGGTACAATCCCGAAATTTTGGATTTTAAGACTTCATTGAGAATCAATTAAGATTGGAATCACGTGACCACTTAGTGCAAGTCGCCTGTTATGTTCGCACCTTGAAAGCTGACTGTTTCGTGAAAGAAGTAACGATTCCCTAAAAATATTTCAATTAATTCAAAGATTAGCAAAAGCATTGTTGTATGGAAATTTTTGTTTTCTCATATAGGCAACCACAGAAATATTTATAGGACGTACCAGGGCGCATTCCGATGTTATACGATAATTTAGTAGATTCTGCTATTGTATTTTCATGCATTACCGCCATTTCTTTGCTCATGAAAGGTTTCTGAATTAACGTGAAAGGTTTCTAAAACTCTTCTAAAAGGTTTCTAAAAGACTTCGTATGTACACGTACCGTTCATATTTACTAGTTCATATTTTCAATTGAAAATCAAGAAACGCTCAACCTAAATTTGGATTTTCTTAACGAATCCTTAAGAGAAGTCGTCTTGGCAAGCTGTTGGGACGAAACGTTTTCGACTAGTATTGCGCTCAACATACAATACGCCCGTGCGAGTCATATTTTGATTAAATGCATGGCCAAGAAATTACTTCAATAACAAAAAATCATGACATGGGCCAAAATACAATTGTTTACTTTTTTGCAGCAAAATAATGGTCTAATGAAGCAAAATTTAACATACAAAAATACGTCACTTTCCAACGCTGTATATTCGAACGCCCAACTCCGAAGTCACATAATTATAATCTTTACCATCAACTGAATAACGAGGTTTGGACGACTTGATAACATGCCCAAAAGCTGTTTTGAAAATTTCCCTTCATCGAAGTCATCAAAAACACGAGTCATTATCCTCAATACTTATTTTAAAGTTCAACTATATAGGCCAAACAAGCATTCATACAAAAAAACACATCCTCAACACAACTTTTGCCGAAAAGCACGCCAGTGCCTTTTCCGCATCACACATCGATCAGTGTGACATCAGCGCGTTACACCGCCCATTATATAAGTGCCCTGGGAAGTACCTGCATGTCGATTTATGAAAACAGATGAAAGTGAGCTGCCATTCGGAATACGAAAAAATGAATAAATATAGAATACTCACGAATTCCGTGGAATACTTTCTGGCTTATCAAATGTGAAGCTTGAAGATCCGGATTTCATCTTTGCTGATTTTGGTGACGTATAATATTGAAGGACCTCTCGCGACTTTGAAATTAAGAAATTATAATGTATAATAAGAGCAAATTTTCTAAAGCCGCGGTTTTCCAGTAGCCGAGTTCGTTCGCGCGAAGCAAAAACAACTTTCGGTAATGTGATTGGTTAACGGAGAAAATCGCCGCGAAAAAGTAGAAACTGGAGTTGTTTTTCGCTTCGCATGAAAAAAATCGTCTATATTGGGGAATCGGCCTAAATTTTGGGCATCCCGCTCGATATAGAACAGAAATTTATATATAGGCGGAAATTTCAAGAGAAAAATGTAACTTCTGGCCCTGCAGCGAGAATCGAACCTATACGGCCATACGATTCCGGTGCAGCGCTTTATCGGCCGCGCACATTCATGCAGGTTCATGTTAAGGTGACGGATAAATATTCCAAATCCTACTCGTTAGAGCAGAATGTTGAAGGGTTTTTGAAGATGGAAATTTCGAGCAATAGTAACTGGGTAAATCTGTAAATATTAACATACAATAACACTAGTCAAGTAAAGTGGCAAAAAAACTAATCATACCATTGGCTCATTTAACACTCTGCATATTAATTCCTCTCTGCCTCTTAAATTGAGGGCAAAATATTTGAAACCCTAAAATTAAATCAAACAACATGCACATGTCAAAATCAACCAGTGAAGATACTTTGGATACATGCATGATACAATACAGTATTTAAATTCTCGCTATATCGTTGTTATATCGATTGTTGCTATATCGCTGGGATTAAATTAAATTACTTCTTATTATAGGTGACTGACTCAAGTCCAATTTGAGAGCTCTTCTACATATGGTACAGATATAATCGGCAGTGACTAGAGGTGAAAGAGCCTTTTCATGTCCCTTGCGCTGAAGGCGCTTTTCCTCAGCATTTCGCCGTCTCTCGAGTTCAAAGTGAGTACCACCCTCATGTACAGCCTTACACCATCCCAGTCGTTCGTGGGCAAGGTATCAACACTGATATTGCAATAATTCAGAGATGCCTTTAGGTTGTCCTTAAAGTGCTTCCTCTGTCCCCTTCGGGACCTACAGGATTTGCTTATCCTGAAGACGTGTCCCAAACATTCAGTGAAGTCGAGTTTTGGTTGACCGTAATGCTATTGCAATTGGCCTCCTCTAGAAAGCTGTTCTTTGTCTGTCGATCTTTCCAGCTGACACCCAGGATGCGGCGGAGACATCGCTGATGGTACTTTTCAAGTACTTTCAGATGACGTTTACAGGTAGTGACTCATAGCCATATATATAGGAGGGATGATAAGACAACTGCCTTATACACCAAATATTTTGATGTCAGTCCTTACACTTCTCTCTTCAAAAACTCTCACGCATCTCCGACATTCCGACAAAAGCATAATTGGCAGCCTGGAGGAGGTGTTCGATTTCAGCATCAATTTCCAAGAGGAAACTGCCTAGGTAGGTGAAACTTTGTAATTCTTAAGAACAGTTCTGCCGATCTTGAGAGAACGGAAAGCTGGAACGTGACCAGGATCTAGCTGATAGAGGATCTGTCATCTTCACATTGATGGAAAGGCCAAGGGTCTGGTATCAGTCGCGTAGATCATAAGCGCAATCAAATAGGGGGCCTCTCAAATAGGGGGGCTCTCAAATAGGGGGGGGGGGGGAGTTTGGATGGCACACTTAGATTCAAGAAGAAACTCTTATGCGTAAGGGTACAGGATATGCACAGAGAAGCAGAATCATGGGATATGCACAGAGAAGCAGAACATCCTTCTTCAACACATGCATGAAAAATAATTTCTTCGTTTTGACCAATAAATGTGGAAATAAGCTTTAACACGAAAACGAGGCTCCATGAGAAAAAAACTTGAAATCTTTTCCACTTAAGGTGGTCCTAAGTTGAAAACAGTGTAGTTGTGACGTAATTACAGAAAGGGTGTATTATGACATGGCGATGATTCTGCGAGCAATAGCAAGGAGGGAAATACCGCGGTATTAGCCACAGTCAGATTTGGCCCTCTTTTCAGCATCCCTTGGGTCCAGAATCGGTCTCCTCTCTCCACCAGATGGGAAGGATGAGTTGATGAAGAGAAACGACTGATTCGTCTCATCCATGCTTGAAAATCTCTGCAGGTATTAAATCATCACCGGGCAGCTTACCATTCTTCATTTGATTACATTTGAACTTCATCAAGTTCAACATTAACTGGCAGCTGGGAGATTTCTAGAAAAACAGACTCATCTATACATACCTAAGATTTGTGATTTAGAAGTTCTTGGAAGTGTTCTTTCCGACAGTGATTTATACTCCCTCCCAAAAGAGTACGTCTTTATCATCCGTTGACGTCACACAAGGGTGTTAGTTACAGTAAAAATTCGGCGTTATACGCCGTTTTCTCAATTACGTTTAGCCAGCAATTTCCCAATTTAGATCTGCCAAAACGTATAAGATTGATCAACTTTAAAACTTTGCTTAAGAGAAGTGTTGCGAGGATGTCATAAAAAATATTTGGCTGTTTTCACCACGCAAAACAATGTCAGGTGACTTGCACTTCAAAAGTTTCAATCTCAGCTCGCTCGGCCAAGAGAACGTCACTTAAGAAATACGATATTTCTTAACTCTGGTCTGAATGTCGCAGGCTAACTGAAATTCCTGCAGACCTGGTGTATAGGACTGAAGATTGCTCTGGTGAAGAAGCCACGAATATCAGCAAGCTCCTGAATCTGCTTGGTTTTGTCTGCCTAGCATTGCCATTGGTTTTTACTTTGAACGTCAGCTTTATGGTATAATGAGCTAGCTCTCTTTTTTGGCAGGGTCACATTTCCTTCGCACAGAAGGCCTTCGTCTTTTGCATTATACAGTAAACACTCTGATCACATTCATGAACGTTTTCAACGAACAAGTGGATGGTCAGTCCAGTAGTCATCTGCAATAGTGATTGATTTGGTAAATAAGGGCAAAGAATCTGATGGAATTTGACTTTTTTCATTCATTGGTATTCATTCATTGGTATGAAATAGGTAATTGGACAAGTACTGGTGTAAGACATTGGGTAGCCTAAATAATGAGGACCAGTAGTTCAAATGGTTATCCTTTATTTATTTACTCCGACTCCTGTGATGGTGAACATGTACGCAAAAAACAAGGGAAACTACGATTAGATAGTAACTGAATATGTGAATTTTATGTGACACGATGAGGGCGAGGATTATATTATATAAGAGCGAGTGATTGAATTGGAATAGGAAAGGCAACCCTGTACGTGTTTCGACCTAACAGTCTTCTTCAGCAGGTTTTTTTTAAGGGGGGTGTAGATAGAGTTTGCAGAGTGTTTGACTAGGGGGTCAAGGATTTTTACCTGGTTGGAGTATTTAATGTTAAAAGTTGTAAGTTTAAAGGTTATTTAATTAGGGAAAAATTTGAACTGCAACATAGGATGTTATGATGCACCAGGTGTTGGGGGGGGGGGTCAAAGGATTTTTTACCTGGTTAGATATTTAACGTTAAAAGTCTGTTTAAGGTTTTTTTTTTGTTAATTCAGTGACTGCACATAATTTTGTGTTACTCTTAAGAACTGCACAAATGGGTTTAGAACACTACACATTTCGTGTAGAATTGCACGTTAAACTAAACCCTGCTGGAAGGAACCCAGAGCAGCAAGGGCAAGATTAAAGCAGAAGCCTCTGCAAAGTAGCGTGTACTGTCTGTACTGAGATATGACCATTGACACCATTCTGTGTTACCATGTGCCAGTGCAACCGGTAGCTCTGCTAGCAACTCCACCAGAGTCTGTATGGATAATTGAAGGCAGACTGACTCTACTGCTTCATGGGTTTCTAAATCCTTTTGATGAAAATGACTCTGAAAATGTCTCTCGATCTACAGACTGATATGACAGGGAGCTGACTTATATTATTTCTTTTTGACTGTTGTTTCAATCATCTTTGTGTTGCAAATCATGAATCTTTTTTGTTTGATCATATAGATATTCCAATTCTTCTGCTGATGGAGTTCATGTGTATGAATGCGAGGTTTCTTGATGCTGTAAACTGCTTGTGCTGCAGTAAGCATTGCAGATTGTAAAATTTGCTTAGAATTATTCTCTAATAAATTGGCAAGATCATGATCTTGCCAATTGGAGCAATCTGCTTTTATTAAAACTTAAATCGTATGGTATTTCTGATCCTACCCTCTCATGGTTTGGCAGTTACTTATCGGAAAGACATCAACGAGTGGTTATCAACGGACATTCTTCTGACTGGCTCCCTGTTACATCGGGCGTCCCGCAGAGGTCTATCCTTGGGCCGCTTCTTTTCTTAATATACATTAACGATCTACCCACCTATTTAGAAAACAATTCATCAATTGCTCTTTATGCGGACGACTCCAAACTTTTCCGCCCTATCTATTTGCCTAACGACAGTGTTTCCCTTCAGAAAGATCTCGACAGCCTCAGCTAGTCACTGGGGCGAAAACTGGGCAATGGCATTCAATGTTAGTAAATGTAAAGCAGTACATTTTTCAAGGAAGAAATTACCTACAGAACATCACTTAACGGGTAAAAACTACTATCTGGCAGGTAACCAATTAGAAAATGTTGTTAACATACTGGACCTTGGAATTACTATCACCAACAACCTTTCATGGTCTAAACACATCGAAGAGATTGTCTCTAAAGCTAACAGAACCCTTGGTCTTGTTAAAAGATTGTGTGGGGATATCAAGGACACAAACACCCGGAAGCTTCTGTATTGTACTGTTGTTAGACCAAAGCTTGAGTATTGTAGTAGTCTTTGGTCTCCTTACACAGGTAAATATCGTTTACTTATCGAAAATGTTCAGCGAAGAGCTACGCGGTTTATTCTTAATTACCCAAAAGATATGTCATATCCGTTGAGGCTGCAGAAACTACGCCTTTTTCCACTGGAATTCAGAAGAGAGATTTCGGATTTAACTTTATTGTTTAAGTCCAGAAATGGGCTAATAACTATGGACGTGAATAAGTACCTGAACGTTTACGTTTATTGCTATCGGACACGTAATTACGACCCAAATAACTACAACTTGATTATTAAGCACAAACAAGACTATTATAGAAAGTCGTTTTTCATTAGGGCTACAGAACTCTGGAATACGTTACCTTCTAATTTAAAATCTTGTAATTCAATTACTTTATTTAAGACTAAAATCACTAACCTATACTTCGATAAATTAGCTACGTATTGCTTACCTGCGTGAATATTTCTTAGTGTATTGTATTGATGTATAGGGGTAGGATGGCAACTGGGACATTAGTCCTGTATCTAACTCCTGCCAGTCGTCTGTTTAGTAAACTTGTAACTTGTTATATATGTATGTTATTGTAATTTACTGGCGAATTAATTAAACTAAACTAAACTAATCTGTGCAGTTGCTCGATCCAATTGTGCAGTTACATAGCCACCAGTTGGAGCATCTGTGAATGCGATATTGTGCACTGCTATCAACGACATTCAACTGCTTGTCATGCCTCTTGAATACATCCTTTACTTTACTTTACTTGCCAAGGGGAGAGTTGTTGTTTTGTGTTAGTTAACAAAAACAATTACTGTATGCTAGGGCCGATCGACTGGCATCCAATAAAATTATAAATATTGCAGTTTTACATTTAGGCCTATATGCTCTGTACAGGGAACAGAGTCTAGGAACAGAGTATAGTACGAGATTAGAGCCCCGTTTACACGACGCTCAATTTTTGGTACGACACGGATAAAATTGGTACCCGTACCACTTTTTTGGTTCTTCGACTACCTATTTAGCTAAGCCCTGTTAACACTGCGCTCAATTTTTGGTACCGTATCACTACCAAGAACCAAAAAAGTGGTACGGGTACCAATTTTATCCGTGCCGTACCAAAAATTGAGCGTAGTGTAAACGGGGCTTAGGTCTATTATTAGTTTCAATTATCAACCTCGTACAACTGTCGTACGGATCGAGGCTTCTGCGCTTGGTGTGTACAAACCTTTAAACATCCTACCCTCAACATTTCTCCAAGAAATGCCTGAAATTTCTTCTTTTCCTATACAGGATGGAAATATTATTAGAAAACATTAACAGTTACTATGATTTATCGATTGGAATTGTATTTACCTGTAGCATTAATATTATCATGCGCAGCTTTTATAAGCAATATTTTTAAAACATTCAAAATAACTAAGCGAAATATAAACTTTAGAAATGCATAAGAAATTGTACATATGGTATACTATAAAATAATTCTTTCTACTATGAAAATAATTTGATCACCTCAGCCTTTCTGCTCATGTTGCTAAAATTATAAAATATTGTTTACATATTTTTGCAACTTTCTTCCATATTCATACTTTGGCTTCGTTCTTAATTTTTCCCGCGTTTTTTCACCGCGTAGTTTTATATTCGTTTTATTTGTCGCGACATTTTTTACTATTGGCGGTTTGATTTGAACTTTGTTTTTATTTTATTTATAAAACAAAAGAAATATCAAATATTGACAGCTGTTTTTTTATTATATGATGTTTCTTTTAAAGCAATAAAGGATTATTTCTCTGTTTTACAACAAGAATGCGTTTTAAAACTATTTTCATGTGTACATGCAAACAATGTACATTCATGAGCAGATGAACTTTATATGCTGTACTCCTGATTGGTGTTTGTATTTGTATCATTGTATAAAGATATTTAATTAAGCCGTGAGAAAGATGAATAACGAAACAGCATTGGATACGTTTTCCGAGCTATTTCACAGTTTGCAAAGAAATAAAAGGTGGGTTATTCTTATATAAAGAGGACATGTACTGTATGACTATAATTACTTTTATTTGAAATGTTGTTGGTCATTAATACAATATTGGGCTATTAATACATTTAATATCCCCCCCCCCCGTCGAGAACCTCAATTCCCAAGTTAGGAAATTAGTCGTTTTTTCCAGAGGGGTAATTGGGGAAATTCAAAATGCTGTTTCCAGAGGGGTTAAATGCAAAAATGTACTTCCAGAGCGGGTTCAAGACTCTTCATTGGGGTCAGTTACACAGATTTTTTTTTGCTTTCCAGAGGGGTAAAAATCCCCAAAAGCAGAGGTCGACAGTGGGTGGGGTTGGTTTTTAAATGTAATATTTCTCGATCATGTTGTGATGTTGAGCAGTGCCAAAGACAATAAATCAAAAGACTATTATAATAAAATAATCCCATATTAAAATAATGTTATATTAAAATAATCCCATTCATGCATGCCAATATTAAAAAAAATAATGACAATTATACTACACACTTGATTGCTTGTATAAAAACAGTGAAGTACAGATTTGAAAATAGCAGTAAATATACATATTATACATTTACAGTAGGTACAAACAAAGGAATGTGCTAATCACTTGTTTTTGAGTGACCTGACACCAATATGCCAACATGGAATGCAGTCTGGCATCCATGACCCTATTAAACTGGAAAGTTTGCCTGTTTGGAAGTTGTGCACCCATGATTTTGAAAATACAGAAAATTTGATACTAACTGTTAGTAGTAATATCACGTTTTTATTTCTGAGATCTTGGTTGCACAATACAAACTGTGCAAAGTGGTCAATGACAATGAACCATTCTGACAGCAGTTAATGGTATTGCTTGCAATATGTGTGTTATTACTAACCCATTGCGCACCAGCACCCTCCCGGCCATAAGGCTTAAGAGTATAAAAATAATAAGGCGAGACTTTTTTTATTTGTTGGTTTACGGATCCGCCGACCATAAATATTCAGAAAGTGAAATTAAATTTTAAAAAATTTTGATGTCATCAATTTTAGTTAATTTTAGTCAATTTGGGGTTCTGGCATGAAGTACACGCCAAGTAAACTTTGACTTTAAGTACTGCTGGCTCATGTTATTGTCATCCAATGTTGCCAAGTCCGGGATTTTATCCCGAGATCTCGATATTTTTTGAAGCAGTTGGGAAAGGTTATTTTTTGAGAAAGGGAAGTTCGAAATTTAGAAATCGATTTTTTGGTAAAATTAACCAATAAACAATTTTGTTAAAAATCCAGGGTTCGTCCGCTTGTATTTAAACCGTATCAGTGAGCTGCATATTTGATGTCAGATTTCATTTTTACAACATGACGTACAAGGCTATCCCACCCGAAATTTGTGCGAAAACCACTTACATTATAATGACGTAAAAAAAGTGGGAACTGATATCGATCAGGATTGTTTAGGGAATCTCGGGATATTTTGGGAACTCACTTGGGATTTTTACAAATTGACAACGCTGGTTGTGATAATAAATGTGGAGATTATAAGCCATGTTTTTCCAAGTAGAAGTTAAATGTTTAGAAGATAAAAACATCGATTTTAAATATACTCAGTCTTTTTTTTTAAATTTTTTTCCGACCTACCGACCTGTTTTTTTTTAAAGTCAAATCCGTAAACCAATAAATAAAAAAACTCTCGCCTAATAAAATAGTGCACATTAGGATGCAGTTTATGCAACTCTTAATGGGTTAATTCAATACATTGAACAGTACCCAATAAATAATTTATTGCTTTTTAAAGTATGAAAATGATTATTGCAGATGATAGACCACAACAGTGCAAACCTGCATGCAGATTGTGGAGAGAGAACAATATATTTGTAAGTCAAATTTAAAAGGATGTGCAAGAGGGGAAATATCGCAGCAATTTTGTCATTAGTATTTTGAAAATTAAAGAACAAAAAGTTGAAACTATAGTTCTCTTCCAACATCCCAAGGGCTGTCAAGCTGTTAAAGCCATTATCAATTAAGTGTTTCCACATAATTTCAAAATTTTAGTGTACTATAAATTTCCCTCAAATTGTTAAAAAAATTTGGTTATTGATATTTTTATATTTCCTCAGTCTCTAATTTGAGACCTCACTTGCTTTGATTCTTGCATGATGTTATTTTTCATCATCAGGACCCATTTATATGATACGACTAGATGTACATAATATATATGATATCGCCATTTTGGTGTGAATTTCAAAAGGTGATTTGTCAAGATTGTGCAGGGTGGTGTCCACCCCTCCTAGTGATGTCCAGAACCCACTAGTGCGAGGGGTGTAGTGAAGTGGGGTCCAGAGTGGTGCCTACATCCTACCCCCCTCCCCCAATGTTATGTCTGTTGGCACAAGGTGGACATGAAATATCTGACAGTGTACAGAATCTAGCCACACTGTGTGTCCAATACTCTCGCAAGAATACCGACGGAAATTATTATTCTGCATCGGTAATATATATCTTCGTTTCGTGAACTCCAGCTGAGCATGGATATACATGCTCACCAAATGGCCTTACCATCGGTACCGTTAGTCAGCCTCGTCCCCGGCGCTTTGATGTTTCGTGACGCGCGCGCGGGAGGCTCGATTCCCGCGCGTGCGTCACGCAACCAGTAAGCACATCAAAGCGCCAGGGACGAGGCTGACCGTCAGTACAAACGGAAAATAAGTGATTTATCATCGGTATTTTCAACTGATAATTTAGCCGGAGTAAGACTTAAACAAACTCGCGATATCTTATAATATTATTACCATATATTCTGTTGCGTCTTTCTTAGTTAATTAAACAAACACGCAAAGTATTATAATCATATGCTGTTCCTATACTTAACACTCAAACAAACTCGCGATATCTTATAGGAAATTCATCATATATACTGTATATCAATACTTCGACGCAATAGTCGCGTCTTTCTTAAACAAACACGCAAAGTATTATCACATGCTGTTCCTATACTAACACTTAATTACAGTCGATTTCAACTTACTTTTCACTCAAATGTTCCGAACTTCGTTCCGAACTTCACAAATTCGTTGCCAAGTTCAAAAATTCATAATGAAATTCACAAACAGGTTTGTAAACTGGGCATTTGATTGACTGGTTTGATTTTTTTATTAGCCAATCAGAGGCTTTGTTTACAAACCTGTTTGTGAATTTCATTATGAACTTTTGAACTTGGCAACGAATTTGCGAAGTTCGGAACGAAGTACGGAACATTTGAGTGAAAAGTAAGTTGAAATCGACTGTAAACAAACTTGCGATATCTTATAATGATTATATATAGCTACTGTCAAAATCCGGCATATATCGATTCTTCGTTCTCGTAAATAAACAGAATATATGGTAACAATATGTTGCGGGTGCGTCTAACGGATTTTGCGTATTTACCGATGGTGGATTCATTTCTCCATCGGTACCGATGGCGAATATCTATTTACCAATGGTGAATTGGCTTACCATCGGTACCAACGGTACCGACGGACAGGGTTTTGGAGGGTTACCTTATGCCCTCGCAATGCTAAATACCTCATTTGCCAACGGACTTTTCATATTTACAGTACCGTTGGTCCATTCATTTCTCCATCGGTACCGATGGAGAATATTTGGCCTACTGTTTGATTTTTATGTCCATGCACTCCTGTACTTGTTCAGAACCGTTACAATTATATTGATACATTCTTTGTAGGTTTGCATGGCGATAAAACATATAATACTTTTTTTTGTGGAAACACCACGTAAATTTACCGAGTAATAAATTTACGTGGTGTTTCACAAACAAAAAGTATTATTATGTATATTTATATTGATACCATACACCGTGCATGTAAATATAAAAAGTAGATATTAAAATTGCATTAAAATATTATTGAAGAATATTTATCAAAAATTGAAGTCGTTATCGTAAACCACGCCCAAACCATGCCCCTTTCACGGCTCTGCCAGGTTCACTTTGTCAGCAAACGACCACTACATGCAATCACAAACCTATATCAGACCTTACACGGATCTGGCCTTCTAGCAAAATCTTCCCGCGTACATCAATTGGAATCAAAGAGTTCAGAATTTTTGAACTTGACAACCTCTGAAAAACCCTCCCCCATTAGAGAAATTTGCACACACAGGCACACCTAGAAACCTAAATGCTCTCATTGGATTAAAATAAGACTCAAAGTTTTCCGGGACGGGGAGAGCATGGGGCTGCGCGTGCACCAGATCCTTTATGCCGCTTGCTCAGCTGCGCAACATGCCCCCTCACTCCCTGAATTTTCGGCACACACACCCAGGAAAATCTGTCTATGCTTGACAAACTTGAAGAACTTGAGAAACAAGCGTGGAAATATGGCAAAAGAGTCAGTAGTAATATATTTACATCGATCTGAAAAATTAATGTAGATTCGAAATCAAATTAGCGAAATCTTGCAAGTATATAAATACTTGATTTAAGAAACTGTATAATATTTTACAATTATTATTATAATATTGCAGTTATATTCAGCCAGCGGTCGAGCGTTGATATATGTGCGATTATTTACGCAAAATTATTCATGCTTACTAATTGGACCATCAATTTCGCCTCTTCGTGGCATGTACACTAGCTGTCACTGCTCGACATGATCAACATCTTATTATATTTTTACCAGCACTTCTAGACTGGGGATTACTTACTGTAGAAGTAGGGAGGGTGCTAAATAGAGGCTGGGGACTAAATAGAGCGAATACGGTAAGCTTGTTTATTAAAAATACGCATTTGGCAAGATGCAATAGCAATAAACCGTTCATAAAGTAAGGTGGCCATGTCTTTAAACTATTTCTGCCAACAGTATAGGCGAAAATAGTTTCATGCATGACTGATTGATTTCAAATTATTAGAGCTGCTTCCTTATGATTAGCGTTAGAAACAATTTGTGTATATATATATATATATATATATAATATATATATGTATCTAGACGTGTACCAAGCTGCACTGAGGAGGCGTTGAACGCCGAAACATGCATGTCTGCAGATTGTACTATATATATATATATATATATATATATATATATATATATATATATATATATATATATATATATATATATACTACTAGCCATGTATAATGTAATATTGTATGTTATCGCCATATACTAAACTCAGTACCTGCTCACTCCATTGCGGTTTGCTTGGTTTGGCAACATTGAGACCGGGAAGTGATAGAAAACGCTTTCTTTTCGTCGGTGATGGGGAGTTAGAGCGGTCATTGTATGTCTGTGATCTGTTGTGAGACATTTCAATATTTCGTTCTCCAAGTATGAAGTACACTGCGTATGTTAATGTGTGTCAAGCAGATGATATAATATGGCCACAACAACATAGAAATTTGCATATGTTTCAAACTAATTAATCATTTATACTTTACACTCAGTTTATACTAACATGAAAACAGCTCTAGCAGGTGATCATGCAGTCATGCCAGATGGTTAGATCTTGTCTGCTTTTAAACTCTGTTCTTTACAGCACGGAGCGCTGCTTTCATTTGTCCTAAACAGGGCGCTTATACATATAAGCGCCTTGGTCCTAAACGTTCACAACAAGTTTGATGATTTGACGAAATTTATATTAATTTTTATTTCTAGATTTCTTAACAGCACAAAACAAGCATGCATGCATATACACAACTCGAGTCTTGAGAACATTTGAAATTTCGTTTTCAGTTCCGATATTTCAATGTACTACCAACTGTACTTTTGTTTCATTCATATTTCGCCGCAATCGCATGTGAAAAGAAATTTTTACAGTTTGTCTCCACCAAACACCGCATGCAGGTAGGCTACTGTATTCTCCGCGTACTCTCACTGGTTTCCTCATATATACCAACAAGGAACGACTCTTACTGGATCTCTATAGGTCCAGAATAACAGTTCAGAACGTTAATATATATGAATAACAGTTGACAATGTTAAAAAATTGCGCTAAATTGGCCTTTCTCACGCCGCCATTTTTGGGTGGCACTTCAGCCGAAGTCTGCGAGATAAGTCCACATAACAGCGACTTTTTATAATTTTTTGGACGAATGATGGTAATTTTGCTTTGTAAATTGTTAGTTTATTTTGAAAAATTGCTTTGCACATTGTTTTAATTATCTGCATTGGTTAAAGAGAATTAGATGCCACCCAAAAATGGCGGGAATTCGTCATCGTGAGAAAGGCTAATTGGTTAAGATAAGTTATATATATTGCAGACGTTTCATCTCGTGAGAAAATCTAACACAAATTGGGAGGGGTGTATTCAAGCATGCAACGTCAGATGCCTTGATGTGGTCAGGCGTACATATACATGCACCGTTGAAGGATGTCCTGGAAATGGGGATAATCATTAATCATTAATCATCATTAATACTCTGGAGGGGGATAGTGCTTTTCAAGCAGTTTGATTGGTTTCGCAGCTTTGGATATCCTCACACTATAAATATTCCACTGGGGGGGGGGGGGGGTGAAATCCATACTATGAGATTTGCAATTGCACCACTAAATGTCCATAAGTATGTCCATACTATGTCGATACTATATCCATAGTATGGAAATACACAATTGTTATGGGTAATCAAAAATCCATTCTATTTTCAACAAAGGTCCATATACAATTTCCAATCTATGGATTTTCAAAACTTTTTCCAGTGTTCACCTCTGGCCAAAAACAAAATGGCTTCCCGCAATTCGTTCCGGTTACAGACAAGCAAATTTATTTACTAAACGAAGCTGCCGTTTCGCCAAACACATACTCTAATGAATAAAATTACCCAACGCTTCGCGTTTTGGTGAATGTCCTTGCACTATTCACCTCCACCTCGGTGAATATAATTGTATACAATACAAGACATTTTAGGGTACTGGATTTATATGCATGTACGTAAACTTTAACGTTGTTTTAATATCGATGTAGGGATAAGGTTGGTGGTATGTTAAGTGGCTGTGAAGCTGAATTGCAAGAGGCAAGTTTCTTTAAACTAAACACTTTGCGCAGTTCTTGTTATTATTTAAATGCAGTCCTATGCTGTATACGTGGGTTTCACTCAAGGCACCATCATGCATGTCGGACCGCGGTCAACCGGCAGTGTTCTCGTATATGTAATAATTTTCTATATGGCAATGGAGTTGACAACAGTTGACAATTTGCCAGCCTAACAATTTGCTTGATACTATAATTTTTACAGTTGTGAAATTGACCACTATATCTGCTGCACGATAGCGCTTACTCATGTAATAAAACCCACTTAAAGTAATAAGATTGTTTAAAAAATATATAAAAATATTAATTGGTTAAACGCGTCAATTTCTTAATAATTCTTATATCCATTTTCCATCGCCCTGATCAGCTTAAGACAAGTGATTATTAGTATTAATAATTGTAGACTTCTATTACTTGTTTTCAGCTGATGCGTCAGATTGATATCATGGTAAATGCAAAGAAGGTTGAATGGGATAGTCAGCTTCATGTTCTCCAACTACAACTGGATAAGAAGAAAAAGGAAGCTGGTATTCTTAAGATTGAAGTTGGCGCAAAAATGCAAGAGGTACTACAGTAATTTTAAATCTAAAGGATTGAAATATCATACCATCGCCAAATTGCCGATTATGTCGTGTCATTACACCATTTATTATATACATGACAAAATTAATGCAATCTGATTGGTTAAGAGGAGTGCAATTATTTCGTTAATTGCAATATCCGGTACCAGGAGTGCAACTGATGATTTGAAAAACAAAATGGCGGCTCGCTTTGTAAAATACACTTTATACTTTATAAAACAAAAGCAGAAAATGAAAATACACAAAAAAGCACTCATCTTTCAATATTGAACTTGAACAATTAGTGACAACCACGTGGAGAAATTAGACTAAGTAAACGTTCTCCATTCTAATGACTCTTTTCCTTCAATTTTTTACACAGGGAGCCCATCCCGGGTCTTATTGAAGTTATGTATTCGAATTACGTATGAAATATATAGCTCAGTGTTGAAGCCTGCGATTTGCGGGCTGTATTCAACGCGCGCGTTAGCCCGCACACAGCCCGCAAATTGCTAACCTGAAGTTCAGGCCCTAATTTTAAATAGGGCCTGACACAAAACCTGTCTAGACTGTGGGACGCCCACATGTTATTTTTAGACACAGCATGCAATATGATTGACAAGTGTTGTAGATTTCGTTACACAAAAAATTTATATTCTCATGAACATGTCCGCAGAGGGCATGTAGTAAAACATGGACTGGACTCATTAGTAAAACATGGACTGGACCCGATTAGTAAAACATGGACTCTATTAGTAAAACATGGACTCTATTAGTAAAACATGGACTCTATTAGTAAAACATGGACTCTATTAGTAAAACATGGACTCTATTAGTAAAACATGGACTCGATTAGTAAAACATGGACTCGATTAGTAAAACATGGACTCTATTAGTAAAACATGGACTCTATTAGTAAAACATGGACTCGATTAGTAAAACATGGACTCTATTAGTAAAACATGGACTCGATTAGTAAAACATGGACTCGATTAGTAAAACATGGACTCGATTAGTAAAACATGGACTCGATTAGTAAAACATGGACTCGATTAGTAAAACAT